AACCAGAGCAGACCTCGTCCAGGGGAGCATGCTGCAGGCCGCACCCTCATTACTCAGGACAGATGGTCTTGGCCATTCACTACTGACACAGACAAGCTCCCCTTCGCCCTTTAAAAAGGAACCTGCCTTCGCAGACGTTCCACGGAACACCACCCATGCTCCACATCTGTTTTCTGTCCCTGAAGCAGGGACGTGCACTGTCAGCAAAACCCTCGTCCCAAAGGTAAAGGCAGGGCAGAGGGTGCGCCATGAGATGCAGGACAAGAGGGAGTCGGGCTGCAGACCTGGTGGCACGGGGGAGAACAATTGGGGACAGGTCAGGGAACCGGGCCCTGTCTTGGTGGAAGTTTCCCGGCCGCCCTGCCCCTGTGGAATCCCAGCCACCAGGCAGCTCCCTGGGCTGAGGAGCATGAGCTCTGGGCTGGAGGCAGGGGAGAAGCTCTGGGCTGCAGCCAGTGGAGGACCTTCCAGCCCAGCCCTGGGGAGGACATTTCATTATGGACTTGGCCACACACAGCCCCACTGGACAGCTTTCTGGTAAGACCACCCTCCCACCGCCCCCATTCGCTCTAGTGCACTCAGCTCAATCCCTTAGAAAGATGCTGCTTGGCCAGATCCAGGTGCCCCAGAACAGCACCCAGGACTGGGCTTCCCCATGACCACCCTGACCCCCTCCACACCCAGGCATGTCCCTGAGCCACCCTAACCTCCTCTGAGGAGCCCTCCCGGCCAGGGCCATCACAGGTTCCCACTGGCTCCCAGCCTCCCCGGGTGACAGGTCCTTGGAGGTCCAGTGCTCTTTCCTCTCCTACTTCAGTCAAACTGTGTTTCCCCAGTGTCACATTTCAATCCCAAGTTTGAGGGAAAGCTCAGTGTTTAAAACACATCCCCTCCAGTCTATAGTCCTACCTCCTACTGAAGCCATCCCCGCGGGCTCATTCACGGACCACTGCTGCCTAGAAGCCTCCACAACGAGAAAAGTCAAGCCGAGGATCCAGAGAGTGACCTGCTCCAACAGCTGCTCACCATCCAGTGGAGGGAAGGTTGGGATTTAAACTGTAGAATGTGGGGCTCCTGTCATTCTGCAGCGGGGGAGGGGCAGAGGACTGGTTGGCTGGGGTGGTGGGGGCATTCCATGGAGGGCTCTGATAGGTAGGCAAGAAAAAGCAGTTCCGTTCAAATTTAAAGTCATAAATTTAAAGGCACACTAACAGTAATGACCCCCAAGGTAAGTTCTAGGCACCCAGTCATTGATGTGTCCTTTATATACGTTCTTGATCCATCACCCTAGTTCTGGGCCCCTCAACCTGCTTTCTATCTGGTCTTGGTTTACTTCAACCCAGGCTCCACTTTCTGAACAAAATTCAGAACATGTTGCCTGAAGAAATAATGGGAACCAATGGCTCACGGATCTCAGGGTTTGAAATTAGGATTGACCCCACAGAGGCAGCATGCTGGATTTCATTCCTTAGGAAGCAGTCCTGTGGCCCCAAGTTCCGCCCAGTGCTGGGAGCCCTGCAGATGCAGCCGGCCCAACCTTACAACCCATCCCCTTTGCTCCAGTCCATTAGGGCAAGGCCCTGCAGCCTACAGGGCAAGACCAGAAATCACCACTTTTGTTTCTCATTGTATTAAGTCTAATGTTTTATCCTTTGAGTGATTTTAATGTAATGTTTTAAACAAGTAATGCCTTTGCATAGATCACAAATTGTGCAAAATGGAAAATGTAGTGATGTGTCTTTCTCCTGCCTCTTGCCCCTCTTGCAAATGACCGGGAAGATGATTGTATAATTTGAGTTTCTTTGGAAAGCATAACAAACTCAAGTCAGTAAGTTGATTCTGCTACTACATATATGTTTTATTACTCTGACACCAGGATATACAACATGTTTCAGGCCGGCCTCTCCCAAACTCTGTCCCGAGGGGGCAGCTAAGTGCATGGGCGGCACGTCTGCAGCTTAAAAAACCCAAGTGCTCCCTGCACACGCTCTGGAAGGCTCTGAGGAGGAGGACCTGCGGGAGGCTTCCCAGAGCGCCCCTCCCTCCACCTCCTTCCTCTGCTGCAGGGACAGCCCTGGCCTCTTCCCAGGGTGCCTCGCGCCAGGACGCAGGAGCACGCCCACTGGGGACGGGGCTCTGCCTGCAACTGCTCCCAGCGTCCGTTGCGGCAGTTGGCTCCCATAGGCGCATGCGCTCAGGCGGTTGGCTCCCTTAGGCACATGCGCTAAGGCGGTTGGCTCCCATAGGCGCGCATGCGCTAATGGCAGGGAGCATTCCCAACTGAAGCCCAGGCTGCTCGTGGGGCCTGGCATGGCGGCCTCCTCAGGAGGGTAGGTAAGGGGGCGCGGCCATTTCTCCCCTCAGGTGTCCTCCCGCTTCTCTGCTGCTCACCATGTGGACCATTTGGTGAGCAGGTCTGTGTTCACCCCCACACCACTCACTTCCGGTGGTGTTTATACTGGAACTGTTGCATGTTTGTTTCAGTGATTGGCGGGTCTAATAGGTGTGCAAGAGATTAAGTTCTCAGGGTCATTCTTTGTCTCCTGCATCCTGAATAACAACAAAGCTAGGAGGCAGCCCATCAATGATTCTCTTTCATCATTGATGTTTCTTTCTCTCTCTCCTTCCTTCTTCTCTGAAATCAATAAAAATAGATTTTAAAAAATTAAAAGAAAACCATATAATCCCAAATCCCATATCTGTGTAGGAAATGAAATCACTGTCTTAAAGTGATATCTTCACCCCTTATTCATTGCTGCATGGTACACAGTAGTCAGGAAATAGAAACAAGTGTCCATCAACAGATGAATAAAGAAAATATATTTATAATACAATGGAACTTTATTCATCCATTAAAAAAGGAAGAAATTCTGACACCGTGACAACTGGATGGGCGTTAAAGGCACTATGCTAAGTGCAATAAGTCAGAGAAAGACATATACCATATTTTCTGACATACATAAATTCTAAAATACAAATATTAGATCATAGATGCAGAGAACAGATTGACAGAGCCAGAGGGTAGGGGAAGGGTGCACAAAATGGGTAGAGAGGGTCAAAAGATACAAACTTCCGATTATAAAATGAAGACATAGGCTGCAACATACAGCTTGGTGATAGTAATTAATACTGTATTTTTATATTTGAAAGTTGCTAAGGGAGTATATCTTAAAAGTTCTCACCACAAGAAAAAAAAAAAAGACTTTTGTACCTATCTATTGGGAAAGATATTAACTAGACGTTGTGGTGATCATTTGCAATATATACAAACAATGAATCATTATGTTGTACAATTGAAACTAATACAACGTTATATGCCAATTATCTATATATTCAAGTGCCTAAGTGACCATTCAATCATTCAACTGTTTGACCGGTAGCTGTGACACACACTGACCACCAGGGGGCAGATACTCAATGCACAGGCATGGAAACATGGAACAGACTGATGAATCTCAGAGGGAAAGAGGGAGGAGGAGGGCGGGAAGAGATTAACCAAAGATCTTATATGCATACTAGAGGCCTGGTACACGGATTCATGCAAGGGTGGGGTCCCTCAGCCTGGCCTATGGGGATAAGTCTGAAACAGGCCAGGCCGAGGGACCCCACTGGTGCACGAATCCATGCACCAGGCCTCTAGTACCTTGATAAAAACAAAGACAATTGATAGTGCTATCCAGTAAGGAGAAAAATGTGTCTTCCTATTTATTTAGGAACATTCTACATTATTCAAGTTTTCTGCTGCTGATTAAAAATGTTTCTGCTCATAATGGGATTAACAGAAATAACATAAACACAGTTTAGGCAAAAGTTATAGCTAAACCCCAAAGAAAGGGACATAAAAGCTGTATTCTGCCCAGTCTAGAATTTTGTGGCCAAGAAGTATAAATAGGGCTCAAACCGTATGGAGGAGAGTCACTAAGTCCCAAAGTCCCTAAAGCATATTTGAAGACAGTTTATTGCGACCCATTCTTTATAAGGATTTATACAATTTATAGAACTCATACTGATTAATAGAATTACAAATTCATAATGATCTTTGGAACTGTGTTTATCTGATTCACAGAGCCATAATTTCATACTGACATCTCCAATTCCAGTCCAGCACCACAGAGTACATTATAGCTTTCCTTTTTTATTTAGTTTCTTTCTCCAAGAGACAGAACCTGGATCTCAAAATCCCTAGAACACACATTAAAAAGTAGGGGGTGCCACCAATCTTTTTAAATTATTTTTGAACACATGAAAAATTAACATATTTTTAAATGTAAAAACAAAGGGTATACTCAAAGAAGTGTCTCTCTTCCTGTGCCTTCTGCCCTACTTCCATTTTCCCACCCTTGCATCTTGCCTCCTGTCCCTTTCCATCTCTATAATCTCTTTTGTTTTTAATTTATCCTATTTCTTAAGGGTTTTTTGCACATGTGAATAAATACATGTGTACTTCCCTCTTTCCTTTCCTTGTCTGAAAAATAGATCCTTCATGAGGAAGTTCTTTAAGTTCAATCCAATACTTAGACAAATGATAACACTCAAGTATTTAGCAACTTGAAGTGAATTCATACAGGAATGAATTATAGTTTCTAAAACTAAACTGAATTATTGAATTTACTTTCTATTTCTCTCTATCCATGAACAATTTGAACCTGATTATGAATACCTAAAGGCACTTACCATTCAACCTAAGTGACTTACTATTCAATCTCAGTGTAAGCACAAAAAGGCAACAGGCACCCTAATGGCCATTCTGATCCATCAAAATACTCATCTGTTTCTAATCTAACTATATATATAAGCTTAAAAATGTATTATCAGTCGATATGAAGATTGGGTTAAGTGAACCTCTGATGCCATTCATCTCCAAGATTCTGAGTCTCTGTTCCCATGGTGCCATGGTTCTGACATTCCAAGCTGCAGGAGAATCATTTTACTGAGGCATTTACAGGCAGCCTCTTCCTCATGTCTTGAACCTCCTCTGCCAAAGTTTGAACATGCGTGGAATGAGCTACACAGTGAAGAAAAACACCATGAAAATAGGAGACGCTGTATACCTGCGAAAAGCCCTGGTGAACAACCTTGGAGAGGAAAAGAGGACTAGGCTCCACATTCAAAAACTCCAGAAGGCATTAAATATCCGGTTTAGGGAGATTGAGAAAGAAAAAGCAGCTCTGAAGATTTTTTTGGGAAAGCTTCACAAGACAAGTGGCTATTTTCCTCGACAACTTTTCTGGTGACCAGTGCCACTGACAGTGAAAAGGTTATGGAAAAGGTTCATTACCAAACTCATCTGCATCTCCTTCTGTTATCTCCATGTAAACTAAGAAAGCAGGACAACACATCACTAGGACAATTCAGAAAATGACAAAAGACTATACAATTGAAGATAAAAAATGAACATCTACAGGAGAATCAAAAGAGAAAATAAGGCGTTGTTTTTTCAGGTGTTCCCATCTTTATAACTTGAAGGATAATATGCAGTATTTCCATTCGAACTCTCCTTGAGACAAGAATAAAGCTTTTCTAGTGCAGAGATATTTCTGATATCATTAAATGCATGTATTTGTCTTAATCCTGCTTTTGTCTCATTGATATCATTTTCAACTATTTTTTTACAATTTTAATAGCATGGATAATTATTGAGGCAAAAATTAGAATGAAAATAATAGTAGGAAAGTGTAGAATCATGATTCTGTAAAGGAAGGTCCCTGAGATGGTAAGCCAGGCTCAGGAAAGGGGCTGTTCGGATAATGAAATAGCCCAGTCAGAAAAAGGCTGAAGTTGCATAAGCTTTGATCGAGATGTCCTAAACCTTTTCTGCATGGAGTGTTCTGTTGATAAAGAGGTGCCTATATGCTGGAACAGTGTTGGTTTTACTGGTCCTTTGGAGACTTGGTTGGATGAATGTTTGGTTATGGTTAAGTATGACTGGAGTAACTGAATGGCTCTGCCTGTGAATGTTCCTCTTGTCATTTCTGTGATTTGGAAGTTTTAAAGTTTATCAAGGGACATGAGTTGAAACAGGGCTCTCCATGTAGCTTACAGAGGACAGAGATACTGGAATTGGCCCATGTGTGTAAGGAAGTTGGGGCTGCCATCTATCTAGCTAGTTGATAAGAGGGGAAGACAGAGACAGCAGTCTTGTGTGAGAGTGGGGTTGGTGATATTGAAGAGATAATATATTAGTTTGACAATTCTAAAGAGATAGTGAAGACTTGGGAGATTTTTAAGAGGGATGGAGTAGACTTGCATCACAATAAGAGGAGGAGAAGGCTTGGGGAGATCATTGAAGACTAACAGCGATGATGGGTGTAATTCCAACCAGATGGCATAAGGCAAAGGCACATTAAAAAATTAAAAATGACAAGGGAGATAAATGGTGAATAAGAGCCTCCTAGTCTATCATGAAACTAAATTCTAGTTGAGTTAATCTTGAATTCACTTCTAGCCAGCAGGTTATTTGGTCCCAAGAAAAGTCCATGAAATCACCCTGAAGATAACAATCCCACAAGAAAGGAACTGTGTTTCAGCACTGGGACAAAGAGAAGGGACTTCTTTGAGTAAGGGTAAGATAAGATCACAGAATTGTCCTGTGGTATGTCATTGGGTAGGGAAGGGGCTGGCTGGGGCAGGAGCCCCAGAGAAGAGAGCAGCACAAACAGAAATGTGAAGGGTGATGGGGGAGGCCTGGCTCATAGGGGATTAGGGTAAAAGTCTTACCATTAAGATGGCAGTGCCAGTACACATAACAGTCATTGTGTGGCATTATGCTCATAGGGGATTAGGGTAAAGGTCTAGGGGACCCTCTGGTTGTGAGGAAACCCTGCTCCTCATACTGTTGCATGTGAGTAGAGAATATGAAAGGCACAGTGGGAGTTGGTCTAGATGTTGACAGTCTACTCAGTTGCTATAGTTAATGCCCAAGTAAAGGTTATAAGTTCTGCCTTCTGTGACCTAAACTGGCACTGGGGCTTACTGTTCCTGAAGAATTTTTGTAAGTTTGAGGTGAGTTACTCTGATACAAGTTTCTTGGAGCCTGAGGTGCAGGGGCTCACTTCAACTTAGAGGAACGGATCCAGGATGCATATCCCTGTTGGTGTGGTCAGGGGTACCTGGTGTGGGCCTGTCTACTTGAGCTTCAGCATTCCCTTGCTGTAGAATGTCTGGAGGAATACCCAATCTCCTGGCTCCAGTGGAGGATTAAGGTAGAGTCAGGGGTAGGCCTGGGGAGAACTGTGTTGACATACTGCCAAAGGAGGTTGAGGGTGGAGAGATAATCTCCCAACAGGCTAGAGGCTGTTGAGAAGTTTCCAAGTAGGAAGGATCTGCCATATGAAAGTTGCAAAGAGCTAAGGAATGTGGGGGATCGAATGTGAATTAGGGCTAAATGGAGTAGAGTGACCCAGGTTTCTTGGATCTCAAGACTTAGTTTTTAGTGAGGTTTTGTTTCAGGATTGAGTTCATTTTCCCAACCTTGCCAGAGGATGAGGATGGTAAGGGATGTGTAGGTTCCAATAGATCTGAAGGGCAGTGGCAGCCCCTTGGTTGACTTTAGATATGAAGGCTGGACCAGGATCCAGCTGTAGGGAGGTGGGCAGGCCAAAGTGAAAAATGAGATGTTCAGTAAGGGCCTTAACTATCTCGGTGGCCTTTTCTGAGGTGGCAGGAAAGGCCTCTACCCAACCAGAGAAAGTGCTTGCAAAGCTTAATAGGTATTTGAAACGCCTTACAAGGGGTATGTGTGTGAAGTCAACCTGCCAGTCTTGAGCAGGTATCTGTCCTTTGGCTTGGTGAGTGAAAAAAGATGGGGACATTTTGAGGGAACTCTGGGGAGAGGTCTGAAAGCAAGTAGAACATTGATTATGTTCTTGAGGTTTGTGGCCATCTGGTGACTAATGATCAGGGGTTTAAGGAATTTTAGGAGGGGCCTACATCCTACGTGGAGGGAGTTGTGTATTGGGGTTAGGATTTGGACTGTCTGTTGTTGTGGGATGATCAGTTTTCCTGCAATAGTGAGCCAGGACCCTTCCCAAACAGCTCCTGCCTGTGTGAGTTGGGAGATTTCTTCAGTGGTTGTAAGAGGAGTGTAAAGTGAGGATAGCTAAGAGCTGGGATTCCACACATTGGTATGTGGTTGCCATTCTTGCCTTCCTGTCTGCATTGTTGTTCCCTAGGGCAGTGTTTCCCAAACTTCTCTCATGATGAGAATCACCTGGTGGCGTTGTTAAAATAAGATTCCTGGATCCCAACTAAGAAGTTCTAAACTAGAATTTTAGTTATAGGTTAAGTTACATATAGGTAAAATTGTATATTTTATTACTAAGCTTAGAACACTAGTTAAGTATACAATTTTACCTATATGTTCCCAAAAATTCTAGTTTAGCACTTCTTGGTTGGATTCAGGAATCTGTATTTTAATAACTCCACCAGGTGATTCTCATCATGAGAGAAGTGTGGGAAACACTGCCCTAGGGCAATGAGTTCTGTATCAGTTTGATGCACCTTGCACTAGATTACAGCTGTCACTTTAGGGAATCTTGTTGCCTGAAGAAGCTTAAGAATGAGGTTGGCATTGGTGATCGGGGACCCTCTGGTTGTGAGGAAACCCTGCTCCTCAGACTGTTGCATGTGAGTAGAGGATGTGAAAGGCACAGTAGGAGTTGGTCTAGATGTTGACCAACAGTCAACAGTCTGCCCAGTTGCTAGAGTTAATGCTCAAGTAAAGGTTATAAATTCTGCCTTCTGCGAGGAGGTGCTGGGGGCAGGGCAGAGCCCCTGATTCTATAGCGTGGGTATTGTCGCCAACTGCATAATGCCACGCATCCACTGTTGTGTGTACTGGCACTGCCATCTATGAACCAGGTGTCTGCCACCTGGGGGAGAGGTGTATTGCTGATGTGTGGGAAATACAGCTGCTAAAACTTAGATCTTGGCATGAGTATTGTTCATTGTCATCAGAAGGTGGAAGAGGAAGTAAAGTGTCTGGGTTTAGGGAGGTGCTTCGGCATAAGGTGATATGGGGAGCTTCTATGAGGGTGAGGTGAAGGGCCTGGAGTCTGGAGGGGGAAAAAGAGGGCAGTCTGGGTGGAGATAAGTTCTGAGAGTGCATGTGGGGAATAGACATCATTGGCTGGAGAAGGTAAGTTTCTGTCTTTCCTGGGCCAGAAGGGTCACCGCTCCTAGAGCCCGAAGGCAGGCAGGCCAGTCCCTAATGGTAGGGTCCAACTGTTCAGAAAAATAGGCAAAAATCTTGTGGCCCTGAATTCTGGCCTAGGAGGCCAATGGAGATGTCCTTCCTTTCATCCAATGAAGGGCTTGGATGGTTGAGAAGTATTAAGGTGAGAGCCAAGGTTTGAGCAGTTTTCAGAGCATTAAAGGGGTGAGAATGTTGGCTTTAGGTTCCAAAGGCTCAGTGAGAGTCCCTTTACCACATCATAGGCTTTTTGGGACAACTAATGTAGGGAACCCAGAGACAAAAATACCCAGAAAGCCTGAGAAAGAGTATTTCTTGTCCAGAGGAGGGGACAGTCATGAAGAAGTTAAGATATTTACAGTCTAAGGAAATGGCTTAGCTTTGTGGGGGTGAAACCAAGGTAGGTAACTGTGGTTCAGGACAACTGAGGGGATGTGCTGATATTAGGGTCATGCAAGGAGGAACATATGAGGCTTAAAGTGCTAAAGAATTATACGTGCATGATTGGGCTGGGGAGGGGCCGTGGGAGGACTCCAAGGCATGTCTGGCCCATCTTGCTCAATCCCAATCGGCTGGACCCCAGCAACAAGCTAACCTACAGGTAGAGCATCTGCCCCCTGGTGGTTAGTGCATATCATAATGACTGGTCCACCAGTTAATTGTCTGCCCCCTGGTGGTCAGTGCATGTCATAGCAAGTGGTTGAGCAGCCTTAGAATATCATTAGCATATTATGTTTCCATTGGTTGTTCTGTGGCTCAGTCTATTTGCATATTGCCCTTTTATTATATAGGATTAGGTCATCTGGAAACCAGATGGGCTGAGCCCCAAAATGGTGTTAGTGAGAAAGAGTAGGGGAACGGGATATTTATGTCTCCTGTGTAGGTCAGAGTAATTGGTCAGGCCAGGTGCAGATGGGAGTTTCGTAGGCAGTCTGCTGAAAACTGGGTGAGGCAGTTTACTGGAAACTAAAAGCTATTAATCATGTCTTGTGAAACCTGTAATGAGAATAATAGGAAAACTGCCAGGAGGGTGAGAGCCCCAGG